TCCAGAACCACAGGGCCAGGAAAGATGAAACTCATGTGGAATCATCCTCAGGTAGTGTAGATTCAATTTTGTTCAAATCATGACCCCCGGGGCAAGGGTGGGGCCAAAATAGCTGACCCAAGTTTTATATAGGAATATATAGGAAAAATCTTTAAAAATCATCTTCTCCAGAACCACTGGGCCAGGAAAGATGAAACTCATTTGGAATCATCCTCAGGTAATGTAGATTCAAGTTTGTTCAAATCATTACCCCCAGGGCAAGGGTGGTTCCAAAATGGCCGACCCAAGTTTTACATAGGAATATATAGGAAAAATCTTTAAAAATCATCCTCTCCAGAACCACTGGGCCAGGAAAGATGAAACTCATGTGGAATCATCCTCAGGTAGTGTAGATTCAAGTTTGTTCAAATCATGACCCCCTTGGAAAGGATGGGGCCAAAATGGCTGACCCAAGTTTTACATAGTAGTATATATTAGGAAATATCTTTAAAAATCCTTCTCCAGAACCACTGGGCCAAGAAAGATGAAACTCATGTGGAATCATCCTCAGGTAGTGTAGATTCAAGTTTGTTCAAATCATGACCCCCAGGGCTAGGGTGGGGCCAAAATGGCCGACCCAAGGTTTACATAGGGATATATAGGGAAACCTTTTAAAATCCTCTTTTCAAGTACTTCAAAGCTATGATTAGTGATATTTATATGGAATCATCCTCAGGTAGTGAAGATTCTAGTTTGTTCAAATGATGAACGCCTGGAGGGGTGGGGTGGGGGAGTAAATTCAAGCCTGATGTGCTCAGGTGAGCGCTGTGGCCCCTGGGCCTCTTGTTTATATAGGTCCCGCTCTTATCAACCCATCGGCCTACCCTTAAGATCCGCGCATAGTCTACTTACATGTACCAATATACAGAAGGGGTCTGCCCACTAGTTCGAAGGTTCATTAGTCCGAAGGCCCACTAGTCCGAAGGTTCATTAGTCCGGAGGCCCACTAGTCCGAAGGTTCAATAGTTCGAAGGCCCAAAAGTCCGATTGAAAACCAGAAGTCTCTGTCGAGACTGTAGCTCTACTGGTTTGTACTTATCAAGAACCATTTCACTATTCTATGTATCTTAGTGTAGTCTACTTGTGTGCCAAATTATATTGAAATCAGACCAAAACTGTAGAAGGAGTAGCGTTTTGAAGGAATTTCACAGAAAATTCTATTTTTAGTAACCATGGCAACACGGTTCATCGAAATTAAAAACCGATGCACTATTCTATGTATCTTACTGTAGTCTACTTGTGTGCCAAGTTATATTGAAATCAGACCAAAACTGTAAAAGGAGTAGCGTTTTAAAGGAATTTCACAGAAAATTCTATTTTTAGTAACAATGGCAACACCGTTCATCGAAATTAAAAACCGATGCACTATTCTATGTATCTTACTGTAGTCTACTTGTGTGCCAAGTTATATTGAAATCAGACCAAAACTGTAGAAGGAGTAGCGTTTTGAAGTATTTCACAGAAAATTCTATTTTTAGTAACCATGGCAACACGGTTCATCGAAATTAAAAACCGATGCACTATTCTATGTATCTTAGTGTAGTTTACTTGTGTGCCAAGTTATATTGAAATCAGACCAAAACTGTACGAGGAGTAGCGTTTTGAAGGAATTTCACAGAAAATTCTATTTTAAGTAACCATGGCAACACGGTTCATCGAAATTAAAAACCGATGCACTATTCTATGTATCTTAGTGTAGTCTACTTGTGTGCCAAGTTATATTGAAATCAGACCAAAACTGTAGGAGGAGTAGCGTTTTGAAAAATTGTTTACAGACAGACGGACAGACAGACAGACAGACGGACAGACGCCGGACGCATTACAATCGCATAAGCTCTTCTGGTCTCTGACCAGTAGAGCTAAAAAGTTACAAACTTTATGTTTATATAGATAAGTTAATTTCAAACAAGCATTCTGAGAGTATTGCATAAGCAATACATGTCCCCTACCGGGTTCCCCTTTTTCTTAAAGATGTCATTTTATAATATGCAAAAGTCATGTCCAAGGTTAAACTGAAAGATTTTCAAGTTGTAAATGCCTTAAAACCAAAAATATAATCCACATTAAGACAAAAATTCAACTCATTTCTCCACCGTCTTTTCCTCGCTTCATATTTTTGTGGTGCGTCTATACATTAGATATAAAAACCTTGAATCACATAATAAATTAATAAATATACTGATAAAATGATTGGACAAACGAAGAATGAATCACATTTTTCATCTCTTAGCTTAAAAGCTAAATGCAGAACCTAAATTACAAAGTTCAGAAAAGTTTTGTACACTTAATAATTGGACTAGTTTGAAAGCGGATGGTTTTTTTCCAGTAATAACTTTTAATATATTTACTTCTCAAGTCCTTGTATAGGGGACAAATTAAAACAAAATGAAAGTTCCAGTACAGAATTATCAAATATAATGAATAATTCCACTTTTCCAATAATTTATTATCACTTGCATGCATGTTTTATATGAACCTATCAATATGCTTCATTTTTACATGCCTTTATTTTCTCAAAATAAAATATTTTTCTTCAATATATATTTCTTTTCAATATTTTTTCTAATACCTACATTAATATTATATAACTTATGATTATCAAGCAATTAATTAAATCACACATTTACATGTAAATCAGGTCAATTGGCATTATCAGGGCATTCAGAAATCAGGACATTATACCCCTTGCAAACTTCAAAAGCAATTTCCAACAATATACAATAGATAATTTAGCCCACACTGAATTAAACTACTTTTACATATGATCCTTAAAAATTATTTAATCAAATTGTAAATTTAAAATTTTTATAAGTTGGGTTTATTAGAAGTTTTTATACTATCAGGTCATCAGGACATTATACCCTAAAATCAGGACATTATACCCCTGTCAATTTTCTCTGTCAAATAAAACTTAATAAAAGTATTTTATTTAGGAATTTCTTCATGATTCTTATAGAAAATGATGATAATCACAATTTCTAGTAAAAATAATACTGGTTATGCACATAAAAACTCTTTATTTCAGTATATTTATGAAATCAGGTCAATCAGGGCATTATACTATCAGGGCATTATACCCTCCCTATTTTTGTCAACAATCGGAAGTAAGCGCAGTTTGAACCCGATCTTAATTAAGCGATTATGAAAAATATTCAAAATGCCATAATTCTGTCAAAAATCAATGAAGCGTAGTGAAATTCCAACTTGATCTGTAACTCATTAAGATACACCCACATACCAAAATTCAGCTCAATATCTGCAAGCGTTTAGAAAAAAAGTGTGGAAAACCAAGTGGGACAGACTGACGGGGGACAGACGGACGGACGCAGAGGAAACCTATAGTCCCCCCGGTTTCACCGGTAGGGGACTAATAAAAAGTTAAAGACTATAACAATGATTTGTTGACTATTTGAAGATATTGCCTTTCTTCCGTGAGATAGGTAAACGTTCAGTATTTGACAATATAAAAAGAGAAGTTATAAAACAGTGGGTATGATTTTTTTTAATGAAAATCTAAATTCTACGTTATATATATTTTTCTGATTTGCATATGGATTTAGATATGAATGAAAAAAGATGAACAAAAGTATCTTGGGACCTGGGGTGTTTTTCCGGGGAGGGGGGGGGGTCTTGTCCACATAAGCACCTACAGCTGAGTGGAGCGAGTGTCTTACCACAAGGCCACCATAGTCGATCAATGGTATAGAAAAAAGAAATTGGAACATGGGAATATGCAGAAAATAGGATGGAAGTTTCAAATTTTATTCATAAACTTATGTCGCAGTATTTTGTAGCCTGAATTTCAAGAACCTCAAAGGAACCTGAGTAGTAACCTGTTAAGGTACAAAATAGAAAAAATTGCAAAGCAGGCACGTAGCATCGTTTTTGAAAATCAGGGGGGGGGGGCAACCTGAAAAAAATTCTTTACTTACCTGCCTGAAAAGTTAACTGGCCCGAAAATTAAAAGTTGTCCAAATTCGAAAATCCTATTTCGGGGGGGGGGGATTATTTTCCTTATAACACTACACTGTCGTGAAATGGGGGAGGGGCTTCCTTTTCCTATAGTAAAGGTAATCTTGAGAGAAAATGTGGGGGGCCAGCCCCCCCCCCCCCTACCCCGAATACTACGGGCCTGCAAAGAAACTTACAGTGTGAAAACTTTAATGTACGGACAATATATCGGTATTAGGGTTAAAATTAGTGAATCTTCGGACAAGTGGGCCTTCGGACTAATGAACCTTCGGACTAGTGAAACTTCGGACTAGTGGGCCTTCGGACTAGTGAACCTTCGGACAAGTGGACCGTGACCATACAGAATGTTGTCAAATTAAATGTGCTTAGATCTACGGGAAAAAATCAGAGCTTTATTTAAATGTGTTTTCCCCACTCCCCTAAAATGAGAAATTCAAGCTTCCACCACCCTTTCTCCAGTCTCCCTTGTTATTCACACTTTCACGCTCCAGTGACCACAGCCAGCTCGAGATTTTGACCACGTGAACTGGTACTCATCCATTCCAGATTACACTTGGCGATATAGAAGCACGATATTCAGAGTTGACAGAGATTTCTTTTTCATTTCCCTACGTATTCCTTGATTTCTTTGAGGATGGTTTGCGACGACATATTTGCACAGCACCGGACGAGGAGATTTGGGTAAGAAAATAGAAATGCTCGAATATATTCCTGTTTCGCTGTTACAATGAGGCTAGCATGGTCATGTCAATGATCCAATGCATGCCTTTACCCTACATTTATCAAAGTTTAGTTTAAATATTAAACTAGTAAACATATTTCAGATTTAAATGTAATGATTATTATGCATATCCACGGGGGAGAGGGTTGGAGGTCAGGAGATGGATGTGTGAAGAAAAGCTGCCCCTACCCGGGGGGAGGGAGTAAAAAAAAAAAGATTAGTTTGGACAGTTTATTGTTTTTATTTCCCCATAATCGAAGATACGGGAATATATAATTTTGCCCTGTATGTCTGTCTGTCCGTTTACATGTCTGTTTATCTGTTTGTCTTGTTTGCCTTGTCCACAACTATTGACTGATAATGACTGGGTGGGGCTATAGTTTTCATATTTCACATGTTTTGTATTCCTTGTGACAAGTATATTCTTTCTTTGGGTACCACCAAATTTGACCTCTTGACCTTGGAATTTTACTCGGCCACTTAAACCATAGGCACTTGGGGTATGGACCTCCCCCCCTTTCCATTTTTTTTTTCTTTTTAAATCAGGATTCAAGTCATCTTTTTCCTCTTTTTCTTTTTGGTACGGAAGTACCAAAGAACGATAACTCTATTTTACAAATGTTCTGCATTATAAAAAATTCAGGATTTTTAATAACAATATTGTGATATTTGGTTGATTATATCGTGTGTTAAAAGTGAATCTGTATCCATCAGAATCTACTAGTTACAGCTTTCTTGTGATATATCGAACTTACCGTTACATGTAACATGAAGAGAAAATTCGGGATTGAATCCCTCTCGAATTTAATGTTCCGAATAACATTTACACATTATGATGACGCCCGAAAATACCGGGTACTTCCGTCCCGGTTGCTGCACATGAAAAAATTTACCCTAGATGCGGTTGATTTCATCAAAATGTTTACAAATCGGAGGCATATAAAAATTAAATGGAAATGTGAAAAGGAAAAGGAATGTATAACAAATTTATTGATGTATGCATATCCCATGTTTTATACTGATTTAGATAGATAATCGAGCGAAGTTTGAGCGAGGTGAGGCGGATGACTAGAAAAGAGTTGCAAGCCTTCTCTCTTTAATAAAGTATATGTATCAGTGGAAAACGGTATTTTTAAAAACAGCTTGTAGAGACAAAAGAGTTGCATTTTTGATAACATCTATTAGTGCATATTAGAATAGAAAAAGAGGAAAAAGATGACTTGAATCCTGATTTAAAAAGAAAAAAAAATGGAAAGGGGGGGGAGGGTCCATACCCCAAGTGCCTATGACTTAAACCAAAAAAAAAAATTAACCTTGGCTTTAGAACAGTTGGTGCTAGGGCTTTCATACTTCACATGTGTATATATATATATTCATTGTGACAAAAGCTTTCAGTTGGTATAAATATTTTCAACCTCGACCTAAGAGTTTGACCCACTTAGTAAAATAAACTTTAAGCTTGGCCATAACTTTTGACGGTTAATTCCAATACTAACAAAGAAGGACATTTTATTGTTTATTTAAGAAATGTATGTAATAATTATATTTTTTCCTTTGATTGAAGACCAAATGTCATCAATTTGGAGGCCCCCATATAAAATATGTGGCGACTGCCAGATATATATGTGGCCACCACCATATAGTAAGTGGTGGCCGCCAGATAAAATATTTTTCATACATGGCACCAACCGTCTTCCGTACATCAATAATTAACAGTTCTATTATATTTGCTATATCTCAATGGGTGTATTTTCCCTGGTAAGTTCATAAATGTAAAGGGAAGCTACTTAAATAACCTAACAGTTCTAGGTCACATTTTTGGATTTCATTTGCGCTCGTTTTCATCTGAATTTCTGAACATATAAAGACGTATCACAACCTGTCAATGCTGTAAAATCTGGAAGGGTCTTTTGCCGTTTGTCTCAGATTAAGCTTAAGAATTCCATCCTCATTTGTTTGGTATCGTTTTTCTCGATCATTCGTTTCTAAAGAATTAAAGGCATTTCACAGCTTTAGTAGCATAAAAACATTTCTTCAAAGCTTTAGTGTTCATACCAGTTATCTCAAAGACATTCATTTAACATAAGTATGCTGATTTCTTTCATTCTTTACCATAACTCAATCTGATTAAAATCAGCTGTTCTGATATGCTACCACTTACGAACATCTGTTCGTATTATAAAGGAGCAAAATGTAAGTATCACTCCGTTTTTCTCAATGTCGTATTTTTTGCAATTCTGACACCTTTGTAATATTTTTTAATCTCTCTCTCTCCTTCTCTCTCTCTCTCTCTCTCTCTCTCTCTGCGTACTTGAAAAACGGTACATCAATTTTAAGCTCTAGATAGTAAGGAATTTTTGTCTATAATTGTATGAACCTGCAGTCAAGAACTAGTATTCGAAATTGTTTTTTGAACCTTTGTACCATTTTAATAAATAATAATAATATTATCAGGTCCAGCACAATACCCCGATAAAGGTATATAGCTTGATAAATTAAGCTATATAGCTTTATCAAGGTATTTAAATAATTCTTTAAAAATTAATTACTGAAAGTCGAGTTCTGAGTTGTTGTCAGTAAATTCACTCATGCATGTAAAGTACTCAAATACAATCAAATCAGCATAAAAACGTGTCGTAAGAGGAGACGTTATTTTATGCTTTCTTTTTGATACCAGAGTGTTTTTCATGCACGAATAGACACACTGTCAAAAACTCAGAACTCAACTTTCAGTATTTAATTTTTAAAGAATTTTTTTGAATTTTCATTACATAAAATACCTTGATCAAGGTATTTTAAATACCTTGATAAAGCTATATAGCTTTATCAAGCTATATACCTTTATCGGGGTATTGTGCTGGACCTGATTATAATGAATCATTTGAATTGACTAAAAATTAATAGACTTAGAAAGGATTGTCTTACGTGTACATTAGTAGTAGATGTGTAAAATTTATTTCTATATGCTACAGTATTCGTGTGTACATTATGTTTTAACACAGTGGACAATGTTTATGTTTTAGCGCCTGCGCAATGCTGCGTTGTCAAGGACTTAGTCCTGCGACTAAGTGTATCTTTTACGACTAGACTTACGCCACTTGGTGAAACGCAAATTACGCCCGACTAAATTTTGGCGTAAGCCCCGGAAGTACGCCTAAGTTAAGGCTTAAATCTACGACTTTTGATGAAACGGGCTCCAGGTCATTCTGGGTACCTGTGACAGCCCTAGTGGCTTGCTTAAAGTCCTGAATGCATTGATTATTGGCAATGGTCTTCATAAATAAGAAATATGGAAAAAAAACACTGGTATTCAGTGGATGTGATACATACCGTGAAAGCACTTCTTTTTGTTGGTTTTCAATTTTAGTTGTTTCCAAGGTATGGAGAGCCGACACATTTATGACCACAAGGAAATGTAAAATTTTATATGCATTACTACTAAACATTTTCCAACCACAAAATCAAGTCCCAACAAACCAGTATTTTTCATCAAACCTCAAAAAGTTCGAACCCACTTAAATATGTAGATTGATTGATTGTATATTGTTTAACGCCCCTCTCGAGAATTTTTCACTCATATGGAGATGCCACCACAGCAAATTTTGTCCTTTATTCGGCACTTAGGTCTATTGAGCAGGGAGGGATCTTTTTTTGTGCCAACACCTACTGCAACACGGGACCTCAGTTTGTACAGTCTCATCCGAAGAACTGGTCTCCACGTCCCACAGTGGGATTTGAACCTGCGATGACCTCTTTACCTAGCGACTCTAGAGCAGACGTTCTAACCACTGCACCATGCTGGCAAAATAAGCTGATTACTTATCTTCAGCTGATCATTTAAGGAATCATTTAAGGGCATCAACTGGCATATGCATAAATTATCCCATGTTTCCCACTATCGTTGATGTCCCTGGCATACTATACTAACTAGACAGTGATTTCTTACATTTCCATTTCATTGAGAAATAAAATTGTAGATTTAGACATTAAAAATGTAGACTTAGACTTAAATTACACGAGGACTTCCATGCCAATTTCAATAGTCCTCGCCCACTGACATCAAACACATAGACAGCCCCATGAGATTTGCCTGCATATTTGGCCTCCTTAGTGTCAGTCACATAGATATAGATGCGCACGAGATTTGCATGCATATTAGGCCTCCTTAGCCCCTGACCTATCGACCTGCCTAATTTACATTTCAGCAGAATAATCAAGAAATAAACTCCGACAACTTTCAGAGTTATCACAGAGAAAAAAATTGGAAATTGAAATATTTATCTTTATAAGCTAGTCAGAATTGATTGATCTAGCTACATGTGTATTCTATTATGCTTTTTTTTTTTAATGTTTATTCATTCTACAAAAAGTTGATGCAGTGATAGCATTCAATTCTGAACTACCTCTTTTATAATAAACAAAGGACACTCAGTACTCAAAGTTCTACATGTAATAAAGATTTAGTTACCACAATTAATGAAAAGTCACATGACTTTATTAATGAGGCAACCTATCTTAATTTAAGATTCAATATAGAGTGGGATATACTGTAAACCAACTTTTATTCACGACGACTTTATTTCGCGATTTATAAGGGAGAAACTAGTTCGCGACGATTAATTTTCGCTATTAATTCTATTTTGGATTTGTTGTTAATAAATAGGCACATAGACTTTAAGGACGGGTTCGCGGCGAGAAATATTCGCGTTGACGGAGCTTTAGCAAACCTCGCGGAAATTTCTTGCACATGAATAAAAGTTGGAACTACAGTACAATGTTGTAGCTTTCTATAAATATCAAAGTAATCTGGTAATAAAATAGCTTTACAAAATAAATTTTAAGCATTTAAAAAAGGTATCTATTTGTGCTCTTCTATTTTTGTTGTTGATTTCTTCAAAGTTTAAAGCTTAACAGTGCTATGCTGCTGTCAATGTTGGTGAATATAAACATATTTATAATAAATAGCCCCATGTTCGATGTGCAATTAATTTTTTCTGTATGAGATAATATTGGTGTTTGAGATATGATGTTGCTGTATGATATACATGTATTGGGGTTAGGATTATGGAAGTTCAACACGTACTGTAACTGATTTTCAGCAGTTTAATCAATATTCATTACTCCCCTTTCAGCTGTTCATTCAACATGTCTTACTCCCCTTTCAGCTGTTCCTCAGAGACGATGGAGGCTGACACATCCATGGACGACGTGGATACGACGATCTTGATTGACTGCGTATGGAGGGAGGAATTCGAGTAAGTAATATACATGTATATACTATTTATGTTCATGTTTTTTTTTTTTTTACGATCAAATATATGTTGCCCAAGAGGCACAGTGGTAAGAGCGTCTGATTTAATTAGAGTTGTGAAGTAAGGAGATGATCCTTTGGTGAAGAGGTAATTTTGGGTGAAGGGGAGTGTAAATTATTGAAGTAAATGGCCAACCCCTAGGGGGGAATAATCAAGAAAGACAAAAATAGGATGGGGTCATTTAAAAATCTTAAGAACTACCAGGACAGAAACTCACCCCAGGGGTAGGTATGGGCCACTATGAGGAATCCCAAGATTTTTTTCATTGAAATATATAGTAAACAATGATAAAAACTCCTTCTTAAGAAATATTTCCACTGGACTTGAAATGCTGAGACTTGTGTGGAAGCATCCTTGGATAGTGTAAAACCAATGTTACTCAGGTGAGCATTGTGACCTTTTGGCCTCGTTTTATTATAAAACTCAAATGATTAATTAATGTCTACATTTTAAGTCTACAGTTTACAGGACCATTTATAAAAAAAACTCACATGAGTCATAGTTTTAAAAGATGCATGAATTAAAAATTGTTCCATGAAATGATATCATTTTTCAAGGTTTATTTCAAAAGTGATTTATAAGGAATATATTTTTACACTCAACATGCTCAAACTTCGCTATCTTGAACCCAACTGGACTGAGAAAAAATTTGAGATATCCAAGATATTGAGATATGGATGTTCGAGATACTGAGGTTCAAGTATATTTTATGTATAGATATTCAGGGTAAACTACTTATGGAGTAGGCATCCAGGGACTTAAAAATCATTCATTGTATTTGAGATATTGGTTTTTAAGATACTGAATGTCAAGTGCATTTCATTTTCAGTGTTCCAGCGAGGCCCATGGATGATGCTGAGAGGGAGGGACCATCGTAAGTACAAACTAATTAATTAGGTTTGATGAGGGAGGGGTCATTGTAGGTACAAACTAACTAATTAGGTTTGATGAGGGAGGGCCATTGTAAGTACAAACTAATTGATTAGGTTTGATGAGGGAGGGGTCATTGTAGGTACAAACTAACTAATTAGGTTTGATGAGGGAGGGCCATTGTAAGTACCAGGGTCATTCAAAAAGTTCGTAGACTTTTGTCCTAACTTTTTTATTTAACGTCATATTATATCCAAATTTGGTACAAATATTTTAACAACAGATTCAAATAAATTGAGTAAAAAAAATTGGAATGTATCTTAATATTTATTAAAATTACCAAGGATTTGGAACATCAAAAATGGGGTCACGGAGCACCGCCAAAATTGAGTATTTTTCTAATTTTCACTTTATAGTATTTACAGCTATACCTCTAATAAATAGAACTGAAACGAAATAAAATTTACATGTTTAAATAAAGTATTGTTGCATTAATTTAAATGAAATCAGGTTATGTAATATCTTGCTCCATTTAAAAGATATCAGTCTAAATACATAAGGACTCGATTGAAAAAGGCAAAATACCATGACGTTGGAGGACGTCACGGAGCAGCAAGTAAAAATAAAATTAGACTTTACATTCAGGAAACTTCTTCTACAAGCGTAATTTAAAAATCCTTTTAATCCAGGATCTGTATGAAAAATAATCTGTGTATTTGTTTTAAATTAAAATACAATTTTTGAGTGGTAGCGAGTTGAATCGGACGATGGATTGTCTGTAAAGAAACAGATTAAAGTTAAAAATATTGTTAAAAGAGTTAGGAACGTCACTGAACGTGATGTGCGCTTCAATGTTGCAGAATTAATAGAGTTGCATGGTGATTTAAAGAATTTGAACAAAAAAAACATTCTTATTCAAGCTATATTTGAACAATTGTTAGCAAACTAGGTGTTAAGTTTTGTGGATATGTGTTTTGAATGGAGAAGTCTAGAAGACACTTCAAGACCGTGTTTGAAATAAAAAAAATAAGTATACTTTTGACAAACTCTCTGTGTTGTTGTTGACGTTACAATATTGGTTAACCGTGCTCCGTGGTAACAAAACATGCTGCTTTAAATGTTGGCTAGCATGAGTTTTATTTAATCAAATGGAATGAAACTTCACACTTCGACAAAATAAATGTTTATGTTTACGAAAATGTATCGATCTATAATCTTGTAATAATCATATGACGATGAGAAGCATTGTCTACGTATTTT